GTGATCAGGCCCGAGCCAGTAGGCCTAATCACTCACATCAAGATCTATGTGCGTAACGATGCATCTCCATGCCCTATGATCTTCCATCTCGTCCTCGCCGGTTCCATCGACATATCGATGCATCTTCATGCATTGCGATCGGTCGTCTCGTGGATCCCACTATCGCATCCACGCTCCCGCTACTCCTCCTCATGTGATTATAATTTAATCATAGGCACTCAGGCCCGACAATAAACGAGAAATATAATGGAGGCTCGCAGACCCCAATAATAATAATCACAAGTATACACATCACACGATCCATGATCATCCGTCCATACATCAAACATCACATGTATAAATCATTATCATGTAGGACTACTAGATAATAATAAAATAATAATAATCAACTAAACCATTTAATTAATTAATATTTTCTGAAATTAGGGACATGTAGGAAAATTTTGAATTCCTAGGGGTATTTTCATAATTTGGATAAAAAATAAAAACTAGAATTTCTCAAATTCCAAGGGCCAAAACTATCTTTTTACCCAAAACCCTAAGCCCCTCTCCCTCTTCCCTATTGCTGCTGACGCCGCCACCCTGCCAACGGCGGCATGTGCAACAGGGCCGGGGCGCCGCCCTTGTAGGTGGGCCCCCCCGTGGGTAGCGTTGCCCCCACGGGCGGTTCTGCCCGGGAGGCAACGCCCGCAAGCAGTGCTGCCTCACTAGGCGGTCGCCCCTGCAGGGTTTTGCCTGAGGGAGCAGCGGCCACATGTGCCGCTGCCCTACGGCGCGTCACCCCATGGGAGCAGCGGTCGCAGGAGCCGTTGCCCTGCGGTGCCTCAGCCCGTGGGCGCGATCGCAAGCGTCGCCCTTGCGTGCCACCGCTGTAGGCGGCCTGCCTGCACGAAGATGGCAGCAAGCAGGCAGCCATCTTCGAGCGCAGCAAGGGCAGCAACAATTGCTACCCTTCCTCATCTATTGCGTCAATAATTTAACGTCAAAATTCTTCTTAAACACAACACACACAGTTCAAAACTAATCATTCACACGAACAACCTAGCTCTGATACCACTGTTGGAAAATCTTGGGGGGCGACATCACATGCGCAACGGAAGAACAAGAAAACAAAATCCTCAATTTTTCAAAAAGATGTCTGTCGTTATATGAAGATTGGTGCGCAAAAATCCACGAAACAAACTGCATATAGAATAGATTGTGTTACCTAGGGAGATCGTATATCCTTGTTTCCTTGCAGATCTCTAGGAGAGGGTGAAGGAGGTTAAGCCCCCTCCTCTCTAGCGATGATCCACACAACAGGGCTACGATGACGCTCCTCAAAACTCTAGGCTTGCTCTGAGGTGGAGAGGGAAAGGAGAATAGGAGAGGCAAGCAAATGCTCTAGCCTGTGAACCATTGAATCCCTCCTATTTATAGAGGTCCCTTGTCAAACCCTAATGGATCCTCCCCTAGTTGGTATTGGATCTGTATCCAATTACCCAAGCTTTTTAGATTAGTGGATCTCTATCCAATAATCTCTCATGGACTCTTATTGGATCTCGTCCATGAGATCCAATAATTCAGGGGCTTATTGGATATCCAATAAGATATGGGCTCTAGCGGATATCTCATATCCAAACATCTACTCATCGTAATACATACCATATGTGTGTGACCCTCTAGGCCCAATATCGAGCTGGCCGTGAGTTATACCTATCAGAACTCCTTCTAACTTAGTGAATTATTATCTCTATAATAATTCACTCGATTCATCGACTACGGACGTACTAGGCCACTACGTCGTAGTTCCCAAACAATACATGGGAATCTAATCCATTGGACCTGTCTATCCTTAGTTACCGTATACCTATAGTCCCTCATCCATCTAATATCTCAGAGACTGTATATCGAGCATGGTGCTGTCAGACCCATACGGTTTCTTCTCGAGTCTCGCTCTAATCGTATTCTCCTAGAGAACTCTTTCTCTCTCAATCCAAATGACCCTGGCCAAGGATTTGTCTGAACAAGAACACATGAGATATTCCTCTCATGATGCCGAGAATGGATGATCCACTATTGACACTCAATTGTCCTCGTAAGGTCGACTACCACTCCCAATGACCAGTTGTACTAGATCTAGGACATCCAAACCTATAAGTCTGGTATCAAAGAGTGGAGCACTCATATAGGACATCCTTGATGTCTCAAGTCTAAGGACCAGATACACCACTATGACTACGGAATTACTGTTTGACAATAAGGCATCATCAACCATCCAGCATTTCATAAACAGATCAATCAGTGAACTTATTTTCCAATGAGCACCTATACTATATCCCTAGTGTCCCTACAAGAGCAGCTATGGGACCAGCTGCATCCATCATATGAACGGGTATACAGCACACCAGTCTATCCGGTTATCACGATGTCCCTCTCGAGTAACCTATGACCGGGATTATTTAGGATCTATGTTTAAAGATGAATCGATCTCATTATCGTGATCTCATCACGATCCGATTCCCTTTGCACAAATCCAAGAACATCCCAATGTATACATGCATATATGCAATAGTTAATATAAAGTGATAAATGTCAAAATATAATAAGCAAAAAGATTCCGTGTCAAGTCACACATGCCATCACTCACGTGATTGGCTTGTTGGGCACCTATGACTAGTAGAGTTAGAGTAAGTGAACTAAGCAATTAACTCAAAAGTAATAGCAACAAAAAGTATAACAAAAATGTAAACCGAGTTTGTAGTAGTTCGGTTGTCGCGACCTACGTCTACTCCTGATTCCTCTTTTATCGAGGCCACCGACGTTGATTAATGATCTTCTTTCAATGGGTGAAAACTAACTATCCTCTTACAACTCTTTTTCCTTTTGATATGCTCTTTACAACCCTCTTTGACAAGAAAATCCTCACAACCTCCCTTAGAATAACCTCTAAGCTCAAGAAGAAATGACTCAATTTTCTAACAGAGTTTTCATGCTCTAAAACATAAGTTTTTGTTCTCTTTTCTTGCTTTTCCCAAGCAAGAATTAGTGTGATATTTATAGACTCCAAATGGCTAATCCCTGAGTTTTCGGGGTACTAGCAGTACCACCGTTGAGTTTTTTGGAACCATACACTTCGTTAATTCCAGCTCATAAGTAGTTCCACCACTTGTTTTGGTGGTGCCACCACCTGACCCAACCTTTGGGTCACTTAATGAGCCCAAATTAGCCTCAACTTAGGCCCAATGGGCCCCTAATTTAGTTAGCATAGTTACACTCGAAACTAACTCAATTACACCTAGACTACTACGATCTAGACAAAATTGATTACAAACATAAATCCTATGTTATCTTGCATGCCATTAGTTCATCCAATGTTTCGTCTGATCCTTCGGTGCATTTTCCTCTCCTTCAACATATTACTCGATCTATCGGCATGTTGACCTCCCACAACATTCGATCTTTTTAATATAATATCCGATCCTTTTGGCCTGATGCCCAAACTCATGCCAAGAAGTCCTTCCGACACGTCGACCAGTCCTCCGGACCGACGTCCAATCTTTTAACATGATACTTTCTAGCCCAACATCTGATTCTCTTACTTCGATCGATTTGTCCTTCCATGATCGAAGTTAGTCCTGCGTTACTCAAGCATTGATTAAACCATAACTTTATCAATTAATTTTATCATCAAAAATCTGAGATTCAATAAAGATGTTATTTAAAAAATAGAAAACTTAATTTTTTAAATAAAAGTTCATCATATATATATAATCTCTAATTTAACTTGCTTTATTTATTTAATTTTTTTACTTTTTGTCAAAGGAATGAATCTATTCATTGTAAGATATGGTTTATCAAATATATTAGTCTAATGGATAAAAACTTTGATAGATCATCATAAAATCATAAATTTGTATCTTGCCTTCGTCACTTAAAAGGAAGATATGATACAGTCTAGTGTAGAGTATAAATATGTAGAACAAATGACAGTGTCTTAAAACCATTCTCAAGCTAACACTTGTAACAGTCTTCTTTTTCAAATTGGTGAAAGCACATATTCATGACTTTTTATCACCTAATGCAATGCATAAGTCTTTAACTTTACAAAATTGTCAATGCCTTATTGAACTGAGATTTCTGGTAGCGGCATTGTATTCCCCATCACAGCATGAGTGAAATATACATCAGGAACTATATATTTTTATTTTATTTTATTTTATTTTTTTATGTATAAGTGGTAAAAATATATATACAACAGAGAAACTGACACAAGAGAAGGGTTTTATGAAGTAATATTGTTAGCTTATGTCGCCTTCAATGCGAAACTTAACAAAAGCAGCTTAATCATGCAGTTTTAGATGGTTAAAATGTATTACTAAATTGGGCATAAGAAGGATCATGTCGAGAACTCACTTGACCCCGATCTTTACGTAGGTCGACATCTGATTGAACATCTAAGACCTCTTGATCTCACTTGAATTTTTTTGTGCACGCCCGGTCGAATCAAGTCGGATCGATTCGAATATTACCGACATCTCTCGTATCACAATTGATAGGGTAATTCTATCGAGATTTAACATGTGGAGGATGGCGTATTATAAAGCAACTGATTAAATTTGTCACGTGAGTATTAACCAAAATAATAAAAATAATTCATTCTAAGTAAACATTACACAATTTTAATTTTTGGCCCTTTATTAAGTCTTGACTCTCCAATCAACAATTAATGTAGAACTAAATATGGCCATATCAACAATAATCATATACTTCTTTGATCTGCAATGATACTGAGATCATGCTCATGAAGAAGTATATCAAGCTTCATAGCTTTTAGTATCCTGAGCTTTTATCATTTGACAAGCCCATTAAAAAATGTGTTCAAGTTAAATATGGAGGGAGATTGAACTTAAAAGAGACTATTTCTTTTTCTCAATCCACAATGGCCAGTAACTGTGGCATCTTTTTATGGATGGCTTCTGTCTTTGCTTCAATCATCCGTAATGAGAAATCTCTTCCCGTTTGCATCAATCTGTTTGAATCAACTCAGATTCTCTTTCCACATCAAATAATAATAAAATAAACTATAAAAAAAATCAACATCAAATATTAATACAACATATTTTCTCACAAAAATACAAGTAAATGTATAATATAGCCTCTATTTAAGTTCTCCCACTCCTGTCTTCATGCACCGCTGCAGCTGTATCTAATACCTACATCCTGCTGCTGCGGATTAAAGAAAAGAATCAACGGAAGAAGAGATGATTAAGATCAAATTCTAAGTAGGAATCATAAAGCATAAAGAAGCAATGATCAATGTTAATGGTATTGTATTCTCTTTCTACGTTAATCTTCTTAGTTCTTGAGCGTTTTTGTGAGCTTAATCTTCTCATCCTTTGTTTGCATGAACACACAAAATTCTCTGTTCTATATACCTTGATGTGTTCTTCCTTCTTCCCCAAATGACAGCGGCAGCAAGCGGCTGACGTGACGCACGACACAGTTTGATGCTCGTGGGCTGCCATGGCCGTGGAGGCGAAGATCCCAGCCCGTGTGCACGAAGACATGGCGGACGCAGTCGGTTCTGAGGGATGGTGGGACTGGTTTTGGAGGAGGAGGAGGAGGAGGAAGGCTCGGATCTTGAGAGGGGAAGGCCGGTCTCGGCTCGCGACGTCGTACTCTTCGACGAGGTCGGCTAGGTCGTCGTCGGAGGTGACAGAGACCAGGGTGTCGAGGTCCTCGGTCGGAAGCTGGCACCGGAGGCTCACCGTGCCGCCCCACCCGCACAGCTCCCTCAGCTTCACCTGCAGCTCTGTCGCACGCAAATATCACACGCTATGTCATCCTCTCAATCCATATCAACAGGTGGAGTGGCTACCTGAGAAAGAGATGGATCTGCCGATGGCGACGACTCGGGTGTAGCCGCCGACGTACCGGAGCTTGCCGTCGGGGTAACGAGGGAGTATCTTGCCACCGTAGCTGCACAGGAACTTGATGCATGGCCCCGTTGACTTGACGGAGACGTCGCCAAAGGAGCTATATGAAGCAGAGGAGGAGGTCCCAGCCATGCCTGCCTCCCTCTTCCCTCTTATTCTTGGATAATTCTATGGTAATTCTAACTTTTTCTTTCCAAAGAAGGAGAAGAAGAAGAAGAAGAAGAGAGAGAGAGAGAGAGAGAGAGAGAGAGTGAGAGAGTGCAAGCTTGAGGTCTCATATTGGCACCACTTCATTTATATAAGGGGGAAGGAGAAGATAGAATTGAAGAGGGTAGTTGAGTCCAAATGCTTTCCTTTATTAGTTAATTGTTTTCCTTAATGATAAAACCCTTAGTCAATGTAATACTAAGAATGAGCAATTTGACTCTCTAACTTATCCTAATCAACCTAACTAATCTCTTAATCTGTTGTAATCCAGTTAAAGATGTGGCTGAGTTACTAAAGAAATCAGTAACTATGACTAATTTAATCTTTGTATTTTTTTGTTCAACTTCTTTGATTGTGTTATGTTAATTTTTCTAAACCAGATTAGTTAAATCATAATTTAATTTGCAGAATAATGAAAATTATTTTGACTATGGAATAGGGTTTGACCAAATCAAATCGAATTTAGATGTCTTTTTAATCGAGTTTGGTAGGGTTTGGATTCGTTAAGTTTATCTGACTTGATTAAACCATGTTCTAATATTATTTTATAATTTTTTAATTGCAAGTAAATAAATAAATATATATATATATAATATCTCCAAATAGGATTATAATATTTTTAATTTTTATAAAAATATTACATATATATAATATTATAATCGAATCGATTCACCATTAAACCAATCTATTTTTATTCGGTTCACTAAGCATTGTAGGGATGCTTTTCAAAGCGGACACTCAAAGATCAAAAAACAAAGAGGACGACACCAATCAGAGAAAAAACAAAAAATAAAGAACCTTTTAAGAATTCATATGTTTACATTCTTCATTCTATATATGTTAGTGTTCTCGTCTCTCTTACAAACATACGATGGTGCTTACAAGGTGTATGATAGATTGACGTTACTACCACAAAGCACACCAACTCGGCACCCCTTCTCGTGTCAAGCAAACCACCACAGACAAATCCCCTATTATGAACGGACATCTTCTTCCGGCTTTGGTGAGTGGATGTCTCCAAATCGTCTTCGTTAAGTTTCTTCTGCTGATTCCTTCTCTTCCGTGCTTCCTTCTTTCTTTTCTCCGATTTGTCTTTGTTGCTTGTTTTCTTATCCTCTGTGGTGACGATTACGAATGACGGCTTTCATCATATCTTGTCACGTCGTTCCACGAGATTAAAGATGAAGATTTCATTGTTTGAACTGTGATTTGGAAACTCTGAAAGATCTGTTTGCGGTAGCGCAGAATGGTCGGCAACATATGCTGTGATGTAAAGACCAAAACCAGGGGAATTGACGTCCCAAACTGTTTCTGTGCAATTGGTCTATGAATCCCACTTGAGAATTCCTTTTCCTTGGTCCTATTTTCCTTTCAAAAACTTGTGCTTTTGTTCCTCTTTTATCTTTCTCTGCTTTGGCATGGTGGATCGAGATGCCAACGTTTTGAGTTTGGGCATGTATCTCAAGGACGCATCCCAAGGTGATGGACGCATACCACGTGTTCGAATGAATGCGTTCTGTCTTTTTTCCTTCTGAAAGAACCCCAGTGTCTTAAAATATAGAATTAGCGGCTGGCGCCGTGAAGTATCTGTATGTAGACTTAGAACATATGGGCACGAATAGCTTTAGACAAGGCAATAGGAAGGGCCCAATCTCATGTGCAAATCATATTAGGCTTGACATTGACACGAGGTGTTGAAATGGAGAGTGAGTGGTAAAAGGATTCAGATTTACGATATGCTCTGATGCTATAATGAATATTTTGATTAGATTGCCGACAATCTCAAAAGTTTAAACTGTTAGGAAAGGACCCAATGTAAATATGGCCCGATAGACACAATGAGTTGAAATAGATAGTGATTGGTAAGGGATTTAGACTCACAATATGCTTTGGTACCATAATAAATATTTTGATTAGATTACCAATAATCTCAAAAGTTTAAGTTGTCAGCTGTTAGGACCAATGTAATATGGCCCATGGGATCCCTTTGTCCAACCAACAGATAAGGATGTGGCGATCACCAGGATTAGGACTTTGAATCATGCATTGTGGTCATCTGTAAGTGGCATATATCATCTCTCTTTGTTTTAGTGTTTATACTGTAGTCTATCAAACTTTGTCATTGCTGTGACCATTAAAAAGGTAGCCATAGTGATAACCTAGTCTTTTGTCATGATAACCATAGGTGGAATGTGGCCCTAGCATGATTGACCTAGTGATGAAAACAAAGAAAGGATCTGAATTCCTTAATATTTGCAATCAAGATGATGAATGCTTCATCATAGGTTAGTACAACTTCCATTGATTATACTAATGATGAAATGGTAGACATGTGCAAATATGAAACAAATTCTTTTACCTGATACAGATTGTGGTGGGCCAGCTTGATACAGATGTGGAAGATGAATATGAGGAATAATAAATGACATCTCTCTGCATGACTTACAGTTCTATATGCACACAAGGTATCAAAGTTTTTTTTTATAGTTATAAACGAATAATTTCTTTATAATAATTAGAAATTTGTCATCTATATTTGAAACATCTCATTGTTCTGAATGGTTCCAGATATTGTGGAGTTGGTATATATTTAATCCTGATTTATTGAGATATATTTGGAGTAGCTTCAATCAAGGAATTTGATTCCTTTGATATTGTGTAATTTCATTTCTAATAGGAAATTCTTTACAACCTATAGGACAAAATTGTTGATAAATTTTGTCGAAAATGATACAGTCATAACAATGATAGTGATGTCAATGATGGTATTGAAGTATATGTCTTAGCAAAAAATAGGTATTGAAACAATATTTAAATAGACTGTCCTAATAAATTGTATAATTGTGGAGTTTTATTAACATATGGGCTTGGATGACAATTTCTGGTGGTTTGCTCTGAAATCAGAATCCCTTCTCTTTCCTAAGCAATGTTTTGATCAATATCAGTATTAGGCTGCTTTTAATATCTCCTGTAATCCACATTGAACATCTTGCCCAGATCAGTGGCTCAAAGTGGGATGATGGTGTATATATATTATTTATGAGGTTAGATTTGCTTCAGCTGGATGACTAGAACTGACTTGGTTTTACCTTTTTTCTTGAAGAAAACATATCACAGACTCTAATGATGATAAAGTGGGCTCCCCTAGCTGAAATATATCAAGATGGAGAGTGTTGACATGAATATCAAGGCAGTGATCCTTAAGGGTGAGCAAACCCAGTTGGAATGCTCTACAAGAACGGGGACTCTGGGAATATTCCCGATGGAGTCTTCATCCAAAATTAAAGGAAATATTCTCTATTGATACCAAATTACTTTATGGCGGTGATGTGGCAGATGAGATGATCGAGCTGGTATCTTTCATGATTTGGGAGTCTACACGTTAATTTATCATTTAAGGTCAGTTTATTTTCCCACATCTGTTATAAGTTACTATGTGGTTCTGTTTATTTGCCTTTCTCATTTTCTTTTCCCTGTTTGTCTCTATCCAAATAGGTTGAGGATCAGAATCATGATCATAGAAACAAAAACTATCCCGACTCATGATTAAGATCTCTGCATTGGTATAGTCCATTTTAGAACCTTACAATGGTTTGGGTCTTTTCAAGCTTGGTAAAAGGACTTTAGTGCTCAAATTAATTCCCAACCTCAACTAGTTTAGTCTGTCTCAAACTTAAGTGTGCTTGACCTCAGCCTAAAGATGAGGTACTTGTGAGTGGATTCATTCAGTTGCCAAGTATGATCGCATGGCTTCCACGAACACAGACCATGGGAGCAGCTCAATGCCTGCTTATGCCTGACGAGACCAGACCAGATTTCAAATGCGTCAGCTACATGTCCATGGAAAGCTCATCAGCACTGTCCAAAAAAGAAGAAGAAAAGAAGACAAAGTGTTTCTTTTCTTTTCCAAAAGGTAAGTGGATGGTTGACCAGGTAGTGAGATTCATCTGCATGCTTCCACAAGGATGTTTCTCCTTTTTTCTTCTTCTTTTTAATCTTTCCAGAATCTATGCTTATCAATCTTGATCTCTTGTTATGCTCAGACCATTTGTGGCCTCTAGACAGGGTTTCTTTAAGGAAGAAAGAGGCTTCTATAACAGCAGGTATAACCCTCTTCTGTCCTCAAAGAGAGGAGAAGGTGCATCGATGGGGTTGTGGGGTTTCACGCTTCAAGTTAGGCACGCGTGGGTTATTCTATTCTCTCTCACTTCTTATAGTCAAAGACTAACATGATGCCAGTGCGACTTGCCCTTTTTTTCCCTTCTGCACTTGTGAGAAATCACCAAATGAGCAGGTCATTTACTAAGCAATTATTTATGGTTTCAATCATGCATATCTTTGATTATGCCAATAATATGAACATTTCTTTACAGTTGAAGTTGGAAGAAACAAAACTTCTAAAGAGCTTTTACCATGAAATTTTCTCTAATCGAGAATAATATAATTGTCTACTTTATGTTTCTTATGAATGGCTGCACTGAATCAAACATGTAAGAGATGGTGATTTTCTCATCAATTGCAAAGGATAGAGCTGTGATGACAGATTAGTTCTCCAAAACAGCACTCTGTGACTATTTCTTAGGTGGATATGGTTTCCATGAGTACAGGGAAACTGCACAAGGAAAAGTCATAGATTTTCTTATCAAAATCATAATATATAACTGTTTGATTTCTCAATAGGTAATGCATTCTTCTACAATTTTATAGTTCTCTTTTATCCATATATGTAGATTCATGCATTAATATTTCCCTTTAAACCATGCATCTCGGCCATTTGCATTAATTTTTCCTTCGATAAAATCCTGCACCCCAGCCACACCTCAGCATCCTATTCTTTTATAGGCTCTTTGGATTCTTGTCCCCTGTCTGCTCTCCGCTCAACTACTTCTCTTACATGTCCATTAAAAGCTTAGTACTTGCCGATACACCTTATTCTGAAAGCATGCTCGTCTTCCATCTCTATGCAGGAAATATATAGGGATCTTTCTCTGGTGTTTTAGCTCAAGGAGGAAACTTTTGATCCATAGAGTCTGAGAAGGCAGTCGAAGATGAAGTTTATGAAGCTTGGAACCCGGCCAGATACCTTCTTCACCACAGAATCCATAAGGTAATTAATGGTTCTGCCCATTTACCTCTTTCAGTACGCAGTGAAAGTTCAAGTAGTTCTTCGACACTCAGGTGATACATAGAAGCATCAGCTACCTCTGATACTTCTGTGACTCTTGATTCTTGATTCTTGCTGTTGCAGGTCTGTTTCATCAGAAGTCTCCACCGACCTCCAAATACAAGTGCAGAACAGCTTCTATCGGCTGCACAAGGTAAGCTTCTGCTCATGCTACAATCTAAGAGTTTGCTACAATCTGTCAGAATTCCTGATACTTGGTGATGATCAGTTTCTTTGTCTTCATTTAAGACTTGGTGAATTCTGGTGATGATGAATGTCTCAGTCATCTGGTTTGGTTGCTTGTGGATGCAGTTTCCCCTCCTGTCTAAATGCTTGCGCCTGCAAAGGCACTGCTCTGAGCTTAAAGATGCAGCCGAGCACGCGATCATCCAACTTCCGGACCTTCCCGGTGGCGCTGAGGCCTTCGAGACCTGCGCCAAGTTCTGCTACGGCATCACCATCACTCTCAGCGCCCTCAACATCGTGCCCGTTTGGTGCGCCGCCGAGTACCTTCAGATGAATGAGGACGCCGAGAGAGGCAACCTCGCCCGCAAGCTCGATAGCTTCTTCGAGTCCTGCATCCTCCGCCGGTGGAAGGACACGCTGGTGACGCTGCAAAGCACGAGAAAGTACCCTCCCTTGTGCGAAGAACTCGGAATTACCGCCCGCTGCGTCGACGCCGTTGCCACGGCCATCGTAGCCAATCATCCGAACTCGAAGGCAGCGCCAAGGAACTGGTGGGCTGAGAGCATCAGTGAACTGGGTTCAGACCATTACTGGAGAATCATGGTGACCATCAAGTCCGCCGGCGTCGTCTCCGACGAGCTCATCGTGGACGCACTGCAGATCTACGCATGGAGGTGGCTGCCAGATACGTCGAGAGATGGCTACGAGTGTAACCTCGCGACCGAGGACTCTTCCTCGGAGTCTCGCAGACAGAGGCTGCTCATGGACAAGATAGTGAGCTTGCTGCCTACCGAGAAGGGCTCTGCTTCCTGCAGCTTCCTCCTCAAGCTTCTCAAGGTTGCCAACATACTAAACGCTTCGTCGTCGTTGAGGATGGAATTGCGCAGGCGAATCGGAAGGCAGTTGGAGGAAGCATCCGTCGACGATCTCCTGATTCCACCTGCGTCAACTTCGAACGACGCATTGTACGATGTCGACACAGTGATGGCCGTACTGGAGGAGTTCCTGCTTCAGGGACACAGCCCACCAACCAGTCCGCCGCGAGAAAGACTTCGTTGTTGCTCCAAGTCGAGGGTGGCTAAGCTAATCGACGGCTATCTCCAAAAGATTACCGAAGACAAGAATCTACCGGTGGAGAAGTTGATTGCCATTGCTGAAGCTGTTCCAGATTCCGCCAGGCCCGACCATGATGATCTCTACAGAGCTGTCGACATCTACCTCAGGGTAATAACTACCAAGTCTTTCGTTGATTCCATGGCTTGTTCTCATGCTGTTTGCCTTGCATCAATAGGCACACCCAGAGCTCGACAAGAATGCAAGGAAGCAGCTGTGTCGGATCTTGGACTGCAAGAAGCTCTCCATGGAAGCCTGTGCGCACGCGGCGCGGAACGACGTGCTGCCTCTTAGGGTGGTCGTACAGGTGCTGTTCTTCGAGCAGGCACGCGCCGCCTTGGCCGGTGGCCGGGTGATTGAGCTGCCCGGCAACGTCAAGGCGTTGCTGTCTACAAGCCCTGCCGCTCCTCCGGAAGATGGTTGGAGCATCTCGAGATTGAAATGCCCATCGACGAAGCTTGTGACACTTAAGATGAGGCTCGAAGAGGAGGACGAGGACGATGACATGGACGATGATTTGGTTCCGCGCGATGCTCTCATGAGGAGCGCTTCTTCGAGGTTGAGAGCTCTGTGCTCTCTTCCGAGGACTCCAAAGAGGATCATCGGCAAACTGCTGGCCGTGAACAGAAGTGTGAGCTACAGGCATTAATCCAAACTTCTTGCCTTCATCAATTCCATGCAGCTTCTTCACATATCTGTGAGTTCTCTTGCTTAGGCTTTCCTCGTGGAATAGTTAAATAGTCATTCCATGCAACTTCTTTACATGATTGCTTCTTCTCTGCACTTCTGGCTTTTTGTGTGCGGTTTCTTCTTGAGGTTTTGCATTTGGTTCTGAAATAGTTTAGATGAACTTGTTGCCTTCTTTTCCTCTTATGGGTATCATTCATCTAAGATGCATAAAAGCAGAAATGTACTCATCCTTTTGTATCAAATTCCCTTCTAAAAACTAAGTTAAATTGGATATACTTTGTTATCTCCCTGTCATGCTCCATTTCCAGTAGGAAAATTAATTGTCTTATCTTTGATCTCACACGGAATGTAAAAGAAAATTTGAATTGATTTATAAGACATAGTAAAGGGTTCAAATAGAAAAAACACACAATGAAGAAACATATCAAAGTAAAAGTTGCATTAGACTTCACTTATCTTTGTTAAGATTATCCTAGTGTCTTAGTGATGATAAGTATGTCCATCCTTAAGTGAGATAAATTGTAACATTGGAGGCAAAGAAAATTAAATTGATTTGTAAATTTAACTAATCTATCATGGATTTAAATATTTTGAATTAATAATATTTTAAATTAATAATTATCCCATCAGATTATATCATGTAAAATGTTCCAAGCATTATTTGTTAAAGTTTCATGGGCAACCGAGAGGAGAACATGCAGAGTTGTTCATGATGAGTTGGGACAACTCAACCTCTTTAAGCAAGAGCAAAAATCAAAGTTGCAATCATGAGTTTGTGGTGGAATACCATGTGTTCCTCTTATGTCATGCTGATTTCTGATATGAATTCAAACAATAAATTTAGTAGAGTTTGTGGGCTTTATATTTGATGAGCTACTGGGGGTTGCTTTCAGTGCTAGCCACCCAGGGTGACAGCTATACATTGTGTTTCCACATCTCTCCCAAAAGCCATCCTCTTTCTTCTGCCTCTTCCTCCTGCACTGACCACCTCAAGCATCACCACTCTTTGGTGGTCTCCCCAACTCTTCCACCTTCAACAAAGTAAACATCAAAGGCACTAGACACTGACCAAAAACAAGACTTCTTCCTCACATCTTTCCCTACCTAACCTAAAAGATGGAACTAGACACCTTGAATGCTAGTCTAAGTTATATTGATTTGAAAGAACTTAAAAAGAGTCACTCTCCTATTCATGCACCTTTATTAGCCTTTATCAATTTGTCATTTGATATGATATTATTATTAATTTAGGCTTAAACATTTTACATCATCTACTTCTAGACTTAATGCGATAATTATCTTATCAGGTTAAAGGTTAGAGGTGTACCTTACATGCATCATAATAGAGTGATAAGGATGAGTTGGTAGGATTCAGAGTCTGAAATAAGCTGAACTACATGCTTTTTGATAGTCCACTAAAAAGCAGACTTTGTTGCTTCCGGCCAGAGGAGAGTGTCAAATGTGCATTCAAGTCATGTTGTGTTGGCTACTAACCAGTCACCATGGTTAGTCCCATTGTTGACCACAAACACATGCATAAACTTCTGAGTCTGAGTGAGAAAAAGTACATGCAAGAGGGCAGAACTTTCCTGTTTCTGGATCCAATGAAATCAATAAAAATTTTACCGTTATGATGTACTTCAGAAGGCAGAAATAAGCCACCAGGCGAAGTCAATAGACTAGGAGCAAATAGAATCCTCCTCTTCACCAATTAACATTTGCTAGAACATCTAAAACAGGTATGTATCAGAACCCAAACTGTGCATGGCTTGTATAGATACACTCCAAGACTAGGGACAACAGACATCTCCAACATCTTAATCTATGATTTGATGTGGAATAGCTCCATTGTACCACCTAGTGTTCTTTGTGACACATCCACTTCATACCTCTCATCCATCATCTTCTCTGGATTCATAACCAGATCTGGTCTTGGTTTTCAATGCTCTATTCCAGAGCCAACAGTTGTTTGTGGTTTGCATACTACTCCTCCTCTCATCCACTGCATGCAGCACATAAATTTGGGAGGGGGAGAAAGGGGAGTCGATGCATTGTCAACAGACAGCCATGAGACATAAGACAAAACACACTCCTTGACAGACTCTGAGACAAAACACACCATGAATCATGAGATATAGCACAAGAAAGGCAGAAACCTGAGATCAATCCACATGAGGATTGCTTTAGGTGTTGGGTGCTATGTTTTCTCTGACTTTGATCACTAGGTGAGAAGAGCTTTTACATCCATCTTGCTATTTCATCAAACACCTGATTGAGATTCTAGATGAGGAGCATCTACTCCCTTTTCTTTTTTCTAGTGCTGTAAAATCTTCTTACCCATTTCTTTTTCTTCAAGCCAAGAATTTGAAGCTTGAATCTATCTGTGCCCAAAAGTTGTTCGATTTGCCTTCAATATATAATAGAATATAATGTGCTACATTGGAGTTAGACACTTCCTTTCAGGTTGCAGTCTATAATTGTGTTGTCCTCAACTGCAGCAAACAGCTATTGACAGCTAATCTTCAATCTTTTACAGGGCCCAATAATGATAGAGGATTTATATCAAGGCAATCTGTCCTTTGCTCCCATGCCAAGTCATTCTCATTGTCAATCCCATTGTTCCTCAGGGGATGAGTCATTGGTGCCTCTCTCTCTCTCTCTTTCTCTTGGCTGTAGGACAAAAGGACATGCAATTTGTGTACTGGAGCAATGTAAGTGGTTTGAATACCCTCAACATCTTCTTGATCTCGATGGTTTATCTACATAGACACACTGCCCAAAAAAAAAAAAAAAAACTATGATGTTAATGGCAAGTAATGCTTTAAAATGGCAGGTTGATGGCCATTTGTATGTATGATTGTTTACCATATATTTCTTTTGTTAAAAGATTTTATTTTATTTTTTTCACTATCCTTCCATATAAAAGCTTAAGTCAATGTTTAAAACAATAGATAAGACATGATCTGTATTTATATTTTTACTATTTTCCCAGATTGTTGGGATAGATATCTAAACCTAACACATGACATATGAATCATTGTAACTAAAAGTTTAAATCAACATATTAGACAAGATCTATTGATTTATAACTAATATATTTTTCTCAAGTATGAGATAGATGTCTTGAACCAGTTTACTCCGGGAACTTATATGTCATTGTACCTGAAGTGTTTTAGGCAAACAAAACATGTAACACATCCGTTTACTCCTATATCGAAAGTGGATAATAACTTAGGTTAATTTATAAGAATCTATGTACTAATTTTTAATTTATATTTAAGTATTTTTTTATCAATGGTGCATATTCAATAAATATTTTACAAATGATTGAGATTCAATAAAAGGATTATTCTGCCAGATGGATAAGAGACATCATTTGTTGATTTATATGCTTGTAAACATAATGCTTAATGTTGCCAACACATCACTACAAGATACACTTGCAGGCCTTGGGCTTTTTAGGCCCTCTAAAGATCCATTTAATTAGCCCAATGCCACAGCCTTGTGTTTTATCTCTATGAGTCCTACTTAAGACAATGTATCCTTGAGCAACCAACAAGATAAAGCATTAGATTTGCTATCCAAGTTCTTGTAAATGTTTTCTTTATGAGAACATCTATTCCATGAATGTCCAAAGCAAAGGGAGATGCATAGAATTCATGTTGAATCAGATATATAGTTCTCAATATTTTGAGGATAATATAATTTTCATATATGCATAGTGGAAGTAAATAAGTCGACTAAATGACTAGCAAATCATATTAGAACACAAATTAGCAAATCATAAAATTTCCCTTTGTAATTACCTGATTAAGCAATATATTTTTGTTATTTTTTAGAAAAATATAATATACTATAAATTGATGTGGATTTTCTCTGCATGGATATTATTGGATATATGGTGGAAATATGACTGCATCAATTCTTTTTCTTTTGAGATGCAATGATCACATAATGTAGAAATATAAAACTTTAGCATTTATTTAATGGTGCTTTGAATATTGAATGATGATAAATATGTGATTTGATTTAGAATTATTTTTTTTCTAATATTGTAAATATGGTTGCACTTCATTTTGTTCCCCTATATAATGTGTAATACCGGAACGTTATAATCAATATAACGGATCCGGATTATAACGGAATAATTAAAAGTCTCGAATTGATTACCTTCCAAAACCGCCACCAGCATGTAACTTATCGACTGGTATGGTACACTGTAACCACGCGTAACGTTTCGGAGGTGGCGGAAGCCATGTCCGACATCGACGATGAGGAATCCACCCTCGAACTGAGCATCCTTCTCCCCTCCGCCGACGGCTTCCGCCGAAGGAAGCCCGCCTTCTTCCTCCCTTCAAAGCCCAAACACTTCGCCGTGGCCTGGATCGACCCCGACGCCAAGCGATCCACCAAGGCCTTCTCCCCCGGTGACCCCAGCCCCAAGCTCCACTTCCCCCTCTCCTCCCGCGCCCTCTGCGACCCTGCATGCACCCTCACTGTCCAGATCCTCTCCTCCCGCTTCCCCTTCCGCCACGCCGCTGCCCCCAGGGTGGAGGGCTCCGCCTCCGTCCCCCTCTCCTCGCTCCCCGCTGGCGCTGGTGACACCCTCACTCTGCTGCTCAATCGCCCTTCCGGCCGCCCTGCCGGCTTCGTTTGCCTTTCCGTCCGAATACTCTGGTGTCTGGGGGCGGCGCCGCCGCCGCCGCCGCTGCCGCTGCCGTTGCCAGAGGCTCCTCCAATAGTGGAGTGCTCTGATTGGGCACCAATGGTGGCTACTGGGTTTCCGGTGGAGAGCGGGCAAATGGAATTTCCCATGGCGGAGCCAAATGCGCCGCCGGTACCAGGTGAGAACGCCGGAGCATGGAGGAGTTTTTGGGTTGGATTGGCCTGTGGAACTCTTGCAATGGTGCTGGTGGGAGCTGCTGGATTGTCCGAAGGCTAAAGGAGTGATCTTTCTGCAAAGGTGTGATCTTGCTGCAATGTGGGTGAGTGGTGTTTGATGAAATGCTCTTGACATGTCCATCTTTTTGGCTTCTCCTTCGAAATTGCTGATTTTTTAATATTTGATCGAGAGTTGGAAATATTCTCGTTTAGGGTTTGTACTGAAGATTTTACCAAAAGGAAATCAAAATGGTGATAGTAACTGTATATGTTCTTGTTCACAATCTAAGATTTTGTGGTATTCACTCCAGTAAGGTTTTCTACATTTTTCAGAGAAATTATACTTCAAGGATCAAACGTTAGAACATCTTTCAGGGTTCAACCAT